AGGGCAGAACTGAAAAATGCGGTATTTGAAAGTGGCCCCCGAATTGCAGCATGGCGCCAGTTGTCCAAAATCCTACAGTGCCAAAGGAGGGGTTTGGAAAAAGGGTGCCAGGCCGAAAATGGGATGCAGCCGAAACAGCAAAAAGATAGACCAGGGATCGAGCCCTGGTGGAGTCCGTAACAGAGGTGGTCTGCAGATGCCCGAAGTTGAAGTGGGCCGAGGAAGAGATAGAGCAGCCATCGCTGCTTGTAGGGAGTGGTAGCCGGCGGCCATAGCTGCCATAGCTAGTGATAGGTGGTAGTGAGAGTGTGTGTATGTGTGTGCGATACAGAGTGTGCGTGCGTGGGATATCCAGGGAGATCTAGCGTGGAGTGCATCTGAACAGTTGTATGAATACAGTGTCGGTGGTGAGAGGTGTAGGCGCTCAGGCGGCAGAGCCAGTTTGAAGAGAGTTTGCATCTGAACTGTGTCCGTGGCCTTAGTATCTCTGAATTCTGTGTGGGCGCCTGGCGCCAGTGTTGATTTACCATCTGTTTGTATGCATGCAAAGTGAGAAGAAAACGAGACTGATTGCATTGCAAAATCACGCAGAAGTCCAGATACTCGTGTAACAAGCAGAGAGCTCGAATGCACCAAGATTGCATCCAAATAAGAGCAATGCAATGAACTCGCGAGTCAATGATCAAGCCCTCAGGCCACACCAACGCAGTATTCAATGTCGCTGCTCTTGTCTGGCGCCCAGCGCCCAGCCTACTCTACTCGTCCTACCTAGCCTATCTTCATTCATGCAATAGGCTCACTTTGACTTTGAAGACCAACGTACATGACGTCAACACCGATGCCGACCTCCCACATACACCAGGTACATACTCTCTACTCCCCTCATCATCCCGTGTCCACCCACACTCGTGCCTCCTCCTGAAGACGCACCATCGCCTCTACCTGCCCTCGCGCCTTGCAGCCCGGCTATGGCTGCTAGCGCCCCACTGCCCTGCAGCGCCCCTCACCGCTAAGCGCCCGCGCGCACCCCAGCCAGTAGTCGCGCATGCAGACATCTGCACGCAATCGCAGAAGCGTGTCCGCATTGCCTGCCTAGTCCAGAATGCCAGAGTCTGGCTGGCCTCCTCCCTATATGGGAGTTGTTGCTGCTGCTGGCCTGTCTGGGCCTGGCCGTGGAAGCTTCCAGTAGCTTCTGGTTGCCCCAGTATCGCGCCCAGGCCCGTCTCTACAGTTGAGGGCCTGGGCCCTTTTCGGTTGGGCACACCCAGGATTATCCAGGCTCCGAGTGTTTGCTGTGTTTGCATTGGCCCGCGGGATAGATGTGACGGCAATGCTGCATTCTCATTGGCCCGTGGCCACTTCGTGTTGTGTCGGCTTCATGCTGTGTGTGCCCAGGGTGCAACCACCTGCGTCCTGGGCTCAACTGCCTGACGCACTGCTTCTTCTGGAAGAGCCCAGGGTGAGGCCCAGGTTGCACTTCAACGAACTGGCATGCAGCAAGTGTCTGAGACCCATATTGGAAAATGCTGAGGTAAGGGTCTCTCGTGAATATTCAGGCCAGCCTTCACTTATGGCGGGCACGAGGCTTGCTGGGGGCCACAGTCAGAACATATGCATGTTGTCTAGGGCCTCTGAGGACACATTCCTCACAAGTTGGGGGGAGACAGTTTAATAAGAATTAAATTGAATTCCATTAATGGTTTTGAGCTGGGCTACCAGACCCGCACGGGCCTGGCTGCCCGGCGGGCAGCTGGGCCAGTGCAACTTGGACCCTCTTGCCTGGGTCCCCCGGGCGAGTAAAAAAAATAGTCAAAACCTTTTTTTTTTTCCCTCCTGGTCATGGGGCTTTGCGCCCTCCGAGAGGGACCCAAATCCAGTCTTTTTTCTTTTTTTTTTTGGTTCATGTCAGTTTTGGAGGGTGTGGGGAGGGGGGGGAAGGGGGGTCAGGGGCTTCAAAGGGGTTGAAAGGCCTTTAAAGTTTAAAGGGTGTGAGTCACTGTGAGATGATTTTCCTTACATTATATTATTTTTATTTCAAATTCTGTGAAGAATTTGGAAGTGACCCCTCAGCCAAAAGTTGTTTGGTTTGCTATTCTGCACAACTGCCACAACATGCTTTCTTTCTTTTTTTTTTTCCTTTTTTTTTTTTTGGTGGGATATGGGCCGGGACCCCGCCCTGCCCAGTTGCCCGGCCAGGCGTCCTGGGCAGGTCCCGTGTCAGCTTTGGGGACCCGGGTGGCACGGCTGGTAGCCCAGGTTTTGAGTGCTTCCACTGGGTATTCTCATCATCTGGTTTGGTGTGTTTTTCTCTCTCCAAGTCCACTTGTCATCGCGCATGTGTATGGGAATGTGTGAATGCCATGCTGGATTCGTTTTCAGCCAGGCACATAGAATCCCTTGTGGATGTGGATTCATTTTCTGTATAAAATTCTGGCCTAACTACCATCTTCACCAGAACAGAACGCCCAGTCATTATCCCTGCATCCAGACTGAAAGTTGCCGCAAATACAGTTATAATGACCGGGCATTCTGTTCAGGTTAATGTGGTAGCACCTACGTTCCTGGAGAGTACCTTGTAGATTTATGGATTGAATTCTGGCTGAGCTACCATCGTCACCTGAATAGAACAGCTGGTCGTTATAGCTGTATTTGGGGCAACTTTCTGTCTGGACACATCAATAATGACCGGACCAGGGTTGCACACCCCGACGGTCGGCGGCCCTTGACTGGTCGGCTGCCGACCCGCCGACCGATCGGCTGGTCGGCACCTAGCAGTCGGGGATCATCGGCACCCCGCACTTTTTTTCTTTTTTTTTTTGGGATCCAGAACCCCTAATAACCCCACCCACACCCCCATAGCGGCCCCCAATACCCGCATACACCAACCTAACACTCCCGAACCGCCCCCAACATCCTTATTAACCCCCCATCCCCTATATCACCCCTATACTCCGCCTATACTCCAACCCATACCTGCGGCGTACCGCGTGCGCTCGAGCTCCGCACGTGTAAGCATGCACGCGCACGTGATGCGACGCACCCCACTAAATAGGATATAAAAAAAGAATTGGGGAAGGCTGGCTGAGGTAGCCACTGGTGCACCTCCCCACATTGTTGAATAGTCTTTTTCGCGGAGGACCCCAGCACTGCCAGCAGTACATATGCAAGGGTCCCAACATCTCAAGAGATGTTCAGCAAATTTCGTGTAAAAGAAGAGCAGGCCAGCAATATATGTTCTGGATCTGAAGTCAGGTCTGCTTTCGAGCAGTTATGGGTTACAAGTTACAACTACTTACCACGGTAGCTCTCTCTTTCTTTCGTTTCTTTTTCCTACGAGCAGTGGCCCTAAGGGCCTTGCTCCACTCGTCACCAGCACAAAAGACAAAACATATGCGACGTATGTGTTCCATGTTCTAGCAGAAGATTCATTCATCTCTTTCTTTTGTTTCCTTTTCC